ATAGTGCCGGTACTGGTGATGACGATGGCGATGATGGCGATTATGATGATGATACTGATGATCATGATGATGGTGATGCTGCTGATGATGTTGAGGCTTATAATGATGTCGAAACTGATGATGATGATGACGATGATGATGATGATGGCGATGATGATGATGATGATGATGATGATGATGATGATGATGATGATGATGATGATGCTGGCGACGCCGATGATGCTGATGATGCTTATTAGGATGAGGGTGATGACGATTCTTATGACGACGATGATGATGCTGATGATTATGAGGAAGAGGAACCGGAAGAGGATGACGATGATATTGATGATCATGATAAGTGTGATGATTGTGATTATGGTGATTGTGATGACGATGGCAGTGATCATGGTGACGACGATGATGGAGAGTATGCGGACGATGCATGTGATGGCGATGATGATGAAGATGATGACGGTGATGATGATGATGGTGATGATGATGATGCTGGTGATGACGATGATGGCGATGACGATGATGCAGATGATGATGGTGATGATGATGATGATGATGTTGATGATGGTGGTGGTGATGATGATGGCGAGATGATGATGCTGATAGTGATTGTGATGAAGCTGATGGTGATGCCTATGATGATGAGGATGATGATGCTGAGGATGTTGATGATAATGATGATGATGATGACGGATGATGCTGATGATGATGATGATCATGCTGATGGTGATGGTGATGGTGATGATGAAGATGGTGATGACGACGATGACGATGATGATGGTGACCATGTTGCCATACTGATGATACTGTTGTTGATGATGTTGATGATGATGATGGTGATGAGGAGGACGAGGATGAGGATTAGGATGAGGATGAGGCTGATGATGATGTTGAGGATACTGGTGATGATGATGACGATGATGATGATGATGATGCTGATGCTGGTGATGATGATGCTGATGATAATGATGCTGATGATTATGGTGATGATGAGGAGGAGGAGGAGGGCCAGTGCAAACCCAAGAGTCAATACTGATGTAGGAATAAATCCTCCCTCCAGGCTCCCTCTTCATAGGCCCCTACAGCAGTTCATTACCATTGAGGGGACTGCCTCGTTGGATGACAACCGTTTGAAGACCCTGCAGCATGCTGCCAAAGCAGTTTTCTCGGGATTCCAACGCCACGTATCAACCTTTCTGTTGCGTCTTGACGGTCTTGAATCGTGTCAGAACGCGAGGATGAGGAGGAGGACGAGGAGCAGGAGGGAGATGATGAGGATGAGAATGAGGATGAGGCTTAGGATGAGGATGCGGATGATGATGCTGATGATGATGATGCTGATGCTGATGCTGTTGCCGATGATGATGCTGATGCTGATGCTGATGCTGCTGCTGATGATGCTGAAAGTGATGATTTCGATTATGATGATGATGACGATGATGATGATGATGGTGATGATGATGATGCTGATGATGGTGATGATGCTGATGATGCGGATGATGATGATGATGATGATGATGATGATGATGGTGATGATGATGATGATGCTGATGATGATGATGATGATGATGACGATGACGATGACGATGACGATGATGATGATGATGATGATGCTGATGATGATGATGATGATGATGCTGATGATGATGATGATGATGATGATGATGATGATGATGGTGATGGTGACGATGACGATGATGGTGATGATGATGATGATGATGATGATGATGATGATGATGATGATGATGATGATGATGATGATGATGATGCGGAGGAGGAGGAGGAGGAGGAGGAGGAGGAGGAGGATCAGGAGGATGATGCAGATGAGGAGTTTGCTGATGAGGATGATGCAGAGGAGGAGGGGGATGAGGATGAGGAGGAGGAGGCAGAGAAGGAGGAGGAGGAGGCGGAGGAGGTTGAGAAGGAGGGGAGGGAGGAGGAGGCGGATGAGGAGGAGGAGGAGGAGGGGGAGGATAAAGAAGAAGAAGAAGATGATGGACGACGAGATCTTCGGATGCCGCCCACGGGTTTTGGAGGTTCTCGGGCCTTTGGTGAGGTTTCTGGAGGGTTTCAGAGTGGACGGTGATGAGGGGGTGAGGGGGAAGAGGTGAAGGGGGGAGGGGCGGGTGGATGCAAGAGGAGGGCTCACGGTTCTCATAAGGATATCGAGGAGGGGCATGGGCCACAAGCCATTGGGGAGAAGGGATGAGGATGGGAGGGAAAAAGAGGATGCGTGATGCGGGGTGATGAGGGGACATCCTACGGCGACGGAGGAGGACGAGCACAAGGAGGGATTCCTTTTAAGGAGCGCGACAATCACTGCGTTTCGCGCGACGCCGCTGAGTCCGCTGACCTGGCGGTATCCATGGGGCGCGCGAGGGTGCGAAGATAACCTCGTGTCGCGCATCGCCTGGCGAAATTTGCAAAGTTATGGTGGCCACGGGCGCCGCTGCCGCCACGCCGACGTCGCCGCCGCTTCCGCCGCCGTCCTCGTCGACGTCTTCGCGGCCGTCGTCGCCGCCGCCGTCGTGGTGGTCGTCGCTGGCCGCCGTCTTCGTCGTCGGCGTGGCCGCCGCCGCCGAAGGTTCCCTAGGCTGTACTTCGAGTTCGCGAGCAGCGAGATGGTCCCTGGCATGGAGGGGCGGGTCGCGCAGGCCTGCCCCCCATCCTTTTCCAGGGGGATTCCGCTCGTCGATCATCCCTTCCCCTCCTCCCTCCCAGGAGGGAGGAGGGGGAGGAGGGAGGAGGGGGAGGGGGGAGGAGGAGGGAGGAGAGACGAGAAGTGGGAACCGTTGGAAACCCACGTTGCATCGACGATGCTGCAATACACCTCCCGTCCCCAGCGGCCTCGCCTGTCATTCAAGCCAGGGCCTTGCTTCGAATCAGAAGTGCCTTGTATCATTGTTGCGACTACACAGGAATGCGATCACGTATTATCATGCGGGTCCACTCCTGTTCATGTTCCTGATGGATGAGTCCTCCCTGTCGCACCTTCCTCCCCCTCCTCCCCCCTCCTCCTCCTCCACCTCCTCCTCCTCTTTCCCCCCTTTCCGCCTGTAGCATCTGCGGAAGACAGGGGGAGGAGGAGGAGGAGGAGGAGGAGGAGGAGGAGGAGGAGGAGGAGGAGGAGGAGGGGGAGGGAGGAGGGGGAGAAGGAGGAGTGAGGAGGGTGAGGGGGGGGGGAGGAGGAGGGGAGGGGGAGGAGGGGAGGAGGGAGGGGAGGGGAGGAGGAGGAGGAGACGAGGGGAGGAGGAGGAGGAGGAGGAGGAGGAGAGGAGGAGGAAGAGGAGGAGAGGAGGAGGAGGAGGAGGAGGTGGAGGAGGAGGAGGAGGAGGACGGGGAGGAGGTTACACTTCTGGCCGCGGACTTCGAGAAAGTCCCAAGCGAGACCCATGCTGAAATGGAGCCGCCTGCCACCCGCGCGGCTGTTACATATGTTTATATTTCCGGTATCAGAAATAGAGACAATCTTAAACGGGAATTCCTTTTCAAAAAGAACCACCCTCCATCCCTTTAACTGCTGCACGCGTTTGCGACGAATGCGCGCGATGCCAATGCGGGAGTTCCATTTTGAAAACGCTTCCCCTCCACCTGTGTAGCTGTGTAGCTGTTCTACTGGCTCCCGTCTCAAGCATTGGCTGAAGTTTCCAAGCGAGGCTCAGTCCGCTGGTATCCCCTGTCCGGTGCCATGGCATGGACCAACATGTACTGTAATGAAACGTTGAGCAGTGATCGGAGAGGCGATTTCAATACAGTCCTGACCCGGGGAGGGAACGCAGACAGTTTGCAGAAGTGATCATCGGTAATCTCGCTGCGATATCGAGTGACCTGTCGGATATGTGGCATCGCAGCCCAAGCAATATTGTGAGCACCCTGTCCCATTGATGCCGACAGTAGCAGCGCAAGGAACAACTTGGTATGCTGAGGATTTTCTCGACGTGCTCAAACTAGTAGTTTGAGCATGTCGAGAAAATCCTCGAAGCTCCCAAGGTTGCACTGGTGGAAAAGGTCGTGGAGCAGTCAGGACGCATGCCGCACGCTCGTGACAATCTCAGCAGTGCCGAACTGAACCGAGATGACGCCCCTTCTTGCGAGGCGAGTCGCGTATCCAGCGAAGATGAAACGAGCAAGGAAGCGGGGGCCACAACTGACTGTCTTACAGCGAATATTCAAATGCACATTGGGATGTTCATCGGTGCTATCGACGAAACATTTTACATTTATTTGGTGTTGGAAACACTTGGCAGCCACATTGTGGATTGCAAATCAACATTTGCAAGTCACATCGCAGGAAACTATCTAGGGATTAAGTGGAGGTGCGCTATGACTTCACGCATCGTTATTGTCTTTGGCGGAGAGTTTGCCGAAACAAGTACAACGGGACCAGGGACCCGCTGAGCAAGAACGAGGAAGTGTTGAACTCATGTACGCATAGCAGAAATTATGACCGAGGTGAAGCGTAGTATCGCACAAACGTATGTGAGGCAAATGTGCTCCTTATTCGCGTAACGCTCCAATATCAAACTGATGGGAAGGATTGTTTCAATGGAGTCAATGATGCACATTCTGGATCCTGAAGCAATCGTGTACCCCCCTCGATCCGTGTAGATGCTGCGTGTTTTAAAGACGAAGGCAACCTTCCTCCATCCGTGTAACTGTTGCAAGCTGTAGGACCATAGTTGGTGAGGCCGTCTCAGGCCCAACGCGTCGCCTCGTCGTCGTCGTCGTCGTCGTCGTCGTCGTCGTCGTCGCGTCGTCGTTGTCGTCGTCGTCGTTGTTGTTGGCTGCCGCCGCCAAGGCCACCGCCGCCCCGCGCGCCGCCACCTAGGCCGTCGGGATCCTGCAGCGCTTCCCAGGGCTGCGCGTCCGCATCGAGGGCTATGGCGCGCCCTCGGCGCCGCCGGCGCTGGGCAGGGCGCTGTCGCAGGCGAGGGCGGTGGCCATGCCAGGGAGCGGGGAAAGGACGTGCGTCAAGCAGTGGCGAAGCGACGGGGGACAGTATAGCATGGTACGGCATTGCGTTGCCCAGCATTGCATACCACAGCATTGCAGAGCAAGGCATGGAATCGCCCGGATTAGTAGGTCGACCCGGATTAGTAGGTCGACCCGGATTAGTAGGTCGACCCGGATTAGTAGGTAGCACAGCGTTGCATACAGTCGGCCCGGACAGTTGCCAAATCAAGGGTGCTTTTGTGTCCTGTGTCTCGCGACCCATTCCTTTTACATTCCTGTGGCAATGTGGCCCTCGGAAGGGTCTTGTGCCCTCTCGCGTGTCCTGCCCGATGACGTCCGACTGCAACATGGCATTGCATTGCATGCCAGGGCTACCTGAATTTTGCGGCCAGAACGGAACACCATGCTGGAGGACAGGGAATTTTACCTAACAGCGAAGACTGATAGGTTTCTTATGGGGCCAAAAAGAGAGCATCTGATGACTCCCCAGGGGGGTCTGGGCGGGAGCCGGACAGGCGAGGGCCGGGTTCGTTTTAAGCAAACCGTTGCACATTTCGTGCTCTTCGACCTCCAGAACTCCATTCCCGGGCCACATTTTGAATGCCCGGAGCCAACTGTAGGCCATTTCGTGTTCTTCGATTTCCCAGAATTCCATTCCCGGGCCACATTTTGGATGCCCGGAGCCAACTGTAAGCCACTTCTTCGACATCCCAGAACTCCACTCCCGGGCCACATTTTGAATGCCCGGAGCCAACTGTAGGCCACTTCGTGCTCTTGGACTTCCCAGAACACCATTCCCGGGCCACATTTTGAATGCCCGGAGCCAAACTGTAGGCCACTTCGTGCTCTTCCACCTCCCAGAACTCCACTCTCGGGCTGCATTTTGAATGCCCGGAGCCAATTGTAGGCCACTTCGTGCTCTTCCATTTCCCAGACTTCCAAGACTCATCATCTTCATCATCATCATCGTCCCCGTAGCCTTCTTGGCTACAGCCCTGCTTTCGAAGATTTCCTTTTCAAAGGAACTGCGCAGCGCCTACTGCGCACCTTAATGTCAGGACATGCTGATAGTTCTCGGTCTGGCGGCGGTGCTCCTGACCCTGCTGCATTGAACAGCGGTGCTCCTCAGCCTGCGGCAGGGAACAGCGCTGCTCCTCAGCTTGCTGCATTGAGCGGTCCTCTGCAAACGCTCGTCGAGCACGTGAAGCAGTTCGGCCGGCTACCGAAGCGAAACAAAGGAACGTCAGAACAAGAACGGGCCGAAGACAAGTTGGCCAAACGTTTCTCGGACCATCGCGACCGCATCCCCAAAGACATTTTGCATGAACTGCGGGCCCTGGGCTGTGCTGAGCAGCAGACGGAGACCGAGGAGCTCAAGCGGAAGCAGAAGACCGAGGAGCTCATGCAGCAAGTGCGAGACCTCGGCCGCCACCCGAAGGAGTATGCCGGGCGTAGCCTCGCAGAGCGGCAACTGGCAGAGAAAGTCCGGAAAGCACGGAAGGCCAACCAGTTCTCCCCGGGGCAGGACGCCGAGCTCCAGGCCTTCAAGCAAGCGGAGAGCGAAGCCACAACAAAGACTCGCATCGCGGAGGCGGAGGGCCTGCCAAACCCCTATGGAAGGGTTCGCTGAGGAGGCGCAGAACAGGATCGACCAGGACCTGCTGATGCTCGAGATGTCTTCCAAGATTTGGTTGGAGGCCGAGAAAGACGGACAGAACAAATCCAAGTAGCGCGGTCATCATCCCATCCTCCTCCTCCATCATCGCATCATCATCATCAATGACTTCACCGAGCACCCCGGTGGAGACTCAGGTCTTACGGGTCCGTGCCCGCACTACTACTACTACTACTACTACTACTACTACTATTACTATTACTACTACTACGACTACTACTACTACTACTACTACTACTACGACTACTACTACTACTACTACTACTACCACTACTACTACTACTACTACTACTACCACTACTACTACTACTACTACTACTACTACTACTACTACTGCTACTACTACTACTACTACTACTACTACTACTACGACATCGCACGAAATCCATTCATGGGAGTGCCTGTTTTGGATCTACATTCATTGATGAAAGAGTGTCGTTCGAGGCTCGACCCGTCGATAACAGTGTCTCGTTTGGAATCACGTCCGTTGATCGCAGTGTCTTGTTTAGACCTCGATGCATTCATACAAAGATCTCATTTGGATATGCCGTTATCGAAAGCAGTGCTTCTACTGCTACTACCACTGCTCCCATCAATCCTACTCGTTCACTCCACGCTACAACTACGACTTCACTGTTACCATTACTACCACTATTACTTCTACTGCTACTACTACTGTTACTATTACTGCTGCTGCTGCTGCTGTTGCTGCTGCTAGTGTAGCTATTGATACTGCAGCTGTTGGCAGTGCCACTGCGACTGCCGCTGATGTTGCCAGTGCGACTGCCACTGCGAATCCGAATGCGACTGCGAGAACACCATATTTCTACAACAGCACTCTTACATGAATGCCACAGGCAATGTTTCCAGCTATGCTTCTACACATCGCTGTTAGGTTGTTTTGCCGGGATAATTTTATATATTAGGCTGGCGCCGCAGCGGGAACCACACTTTGAAGGACCGAAAGCGCGGGAATAAGACCAGCGCTGCAGCGGGAGCACGGTTTTGAAGGACTAGAAGCGCGGTCACGAGGCCAGCACTGCAGCGGGAACACCGTGTCGGAGGTCCGAACCGCAGCAACGAGGCCGGGGGCTGCAGCGGGAACGCGATGTTGAAGGACCAGGCGTGGAAATGTGGCCAGCACACCACATTGAAGGATCGACCAAAGTCGGGTGCGAAAGCATATGAGATTTACGCTGTTGGTTGAAATCTTGTGTGTAAGAAACGATATGCGGAGAAAGCGGGATACCTTCCGGACAGAGGCAGGGGGGCGAGGGGAGCAGTCAGAGTGTGCAGTTGTGAAGCGTGCAGCAGGGAGGAGGGGGGGGACGTGAGGTGAGGAAGCACTGTTCGTGTTTGCCGTGCGCCCCCAGCGGGAGAGATGGAGCCCAGGGGAGCACGTCGGGAGGTGCTGGGACGACGATCGATCCGTTCGCAGAGCTTTCCAGAACGACCGCAGAAGGCCGCGGCGCCCCAGACATCCTCCCGAATCGCCGGATCTTCGTCTGAGAACGGGGGAGGGAGCAGGGCGGTGGGCGCTGGAGAACGGAGTGCGGGGTCCGCAGAGGAGGGGGGAGGAAGGAGGGAGGGAGGAGGAGGAGGAGGAAGGAGGGAGGAGGGAAAGGAGGAGGGAGGTGGGAGGAGGGAGGAGGAAGAAGGGAGGAGGGAGGAGGGAGGAGGAAGGAGGGAGGAGAGGGGAGGGAGGAGTGAGGTGGGAGGCGGGAGGTGGGAGCCGGGAGCCGGGAGCCGGGAGCCTGCAGCCGTGAGCCGGGAGCCGGGAACCGGGAGGAGCGAGGTGCGAGGAGGGAGGAGGGAGGAGGGAGGAGGAAGGGAGGAGGGAGGATGAAGGAGAAGGAGGAGGAGGAGGAGGAGGAGGAGGAGGAGGAGGAGGATCACCTTTACTGCTCCCCGCGTGGATCACCTTTACTGCTCCCCGCGTACGCCGCATCATCCTGCAGCACCTGCTGCGCGACCCCGGCCCGCGTGCCCTCGCGGGCGGCGGCGAGAACCCGTGGTCGGCGGAGGACCGTCCCGGGGAGGCTGCCGAGGAGCCTGGGCCGCAATCGGGCGGGGCTAGGACGACCCTGAGATCCTGGCGTCTCATTTTGGTTCGAGCCGGGCGTCTTTCGTCAGGCTTCGGGCCCTGGGGCCCCATCGGGTCGATCCAGCTCGAAAGATGGCGCAGGAAGGTGGGGTCCGGGGCCCCAGTCGTGCTTGGCTCTGCGATGTCTCAGTTTCTTCGAGCCGTCGGATCTCCGGGGAGGATATAAGCCGGTTCCAGAGCGTCCCCGAGCGCTCTTCCCCTCGCCAGCGCCAGAGGGGCGGCGCGAGCCAGCTTGGCGCCCAGGCGACGGTAGAGGCGCATACCAGAGGAGGAAAGGGTGCCCCCCAGTACCCCCCAGTGCGCCTCAGTCCCCCCCAAGTATACTTATGTACCCCCCCGACACTCACCAGGGCCCCCCAGGGCCCCCCGGGTATCCATACCTCTACACTTCCCTCGTTTGTTTTTGTTGTTGTTTGTTCTTGTATTGTTTTGTGCTTGTTCTTTCTCTTTTTTGGGGCCTCCTCGGAGGCCCTCGTCGCCACCGCTGGATTCGCCTCGAACCTCTGGTTAGGACGCACCCCGGGAGAGGTCCCGGGTCTAGCAGTATCGGTGCCTCTGGGTTTTCCAAGAAGAGCCCAGGGGGAGATACAATTGATCCAGGCCAGTCACGCGCCGGGGGAGGGGGGAAGGCTTCTCAGAAGCGCCCCTGCTTCTCAGAAGACGTGTTACCAGCCTCGAACGTATCCCTATCCGTAAGATTGGTGACAATCTTAGGGATTCGCCCTCAAAAAATAAGGGAATCCCTAAGACTGGCATCGTGATGAGGAGGTGCCCAGCATAGGGATAGGGATATGTTCCAGGCTGGTCAACGTGGGCCGCCTCATGTATAGATGTGGGGCCGGCGCCGCCACCTCCCTCTAAGCAGCCTCTGCCCCTCCCCCTTCCCCCTTGTGCGCGCCGCCAAAAGTCATGCATCCAGGGACTGGTCTCGATGGTCCATGTCCTCGGCGAGGCTCCCAGGCGAATGCGTGTAAGGCCCCAGCCCCGGGCTATAATCGTTCGCCCCCATCTCGTCGCCTCCGACGGCGCGCGCGCCATTTTCGAACACCGTTGCGGGCCCAGTCTCGGGCCGGACGAAAACGTAGGATAGTGAAAGGGGGGGTACGACATCTGCTGCATGCAGCTGGTTTCCGCCCCTCCGCAGGGACCCATTCCTCGATACATGGGCACCTCCCGGCGCCAGGAGGCGCCAGGAAAACCAGCTGCGTGAGCTGGTTCTCTGCCCTACCCTCTGCTAGCCTACCCTTTCGCCCCCCCCCCCCCCCCCCCCCCAG